ACCGGAGGTCACCTTCGGTGCTTCCCTGGAAGGAGGTCAAGCCCCCCCCCCCTCCCTGGTGGATCTGTCTAGCACCACACACAGGTCCTGTCACGACAGCTCCACCACCGTACACAGGTCCTGTCACGAGAGCTCCACCACCGCACACATCCTGTCACGAGAGCTCCATCACCACACACAGGTCCTGTCACAAGAGCTCCATCACCACACACAGGTCCTGTCACGAGAGCTCCATCACCACACACAGGTCCTGTCACGAGAGCTCCATCACCACACACAGGTCCTGTCATGAGAGCTCCACCACCGCACACAGATCCTGTCACAAGAGCTCCATCACCACACACAGGTCCTGTCACGAGAGCTCCACCACCGCACACAGGTCCTGTCACGAGAGCTTCACCAACGCACACAGGTCCTGTCACGAGAGCTCCACCACCGCACACAGGTCCTGTCACGAGAGCTCCATCACCACACACAGGTCCTGTCACGAGAGCTTCATCACCACACACAGGTCCTATCACGAGAGCTCCACCACCGCACACAGGTCCTGTCACGAGAGCTCCACCACCGCACACAGGTCTTGTCACGAGAGCTTCACCACCGCACACAGGTCCTGTCACGAGAGCTCCGCCATCGCACACAGGTCCTGTCACCATAGCTCCATCACCACACACAGGTCCTGTCACGAGAGCTCCACCACCACACACAGGTCCTGTCACGAGAGCTGGCGCGGCCGCCCTGCAGCCGGCCGCGTACTGACCGCTTCATGGCGAGTTCGCCGAGCCGACGATGCAGCGAGCTCCTGCCCAGCAGCTGCTGGGCCGAGTTGGACAGGTGACCCTGGATCTCCGTCATCATCAGGCGCACGTACTCGCGCACCTCCATGCCGGTGAGGTAGGGGTAGAGGCTGATGCAGCGGCTCATCTGGTTGCTGTGGTACTGCTGGCGCACGGGTCCCAGGTTGCGGTGGAAGCCGGCCGTCAGGCTCTTCTCCCAGTCGGCCTCCAGGCGGGACATGTAGGCGTTCTGAGGGAACACACCGACTGTCAGCCTGCGGGCGACGATGTGCACCGGTTGCCCCCCTCCCCCCCCCCCCCCCAAAGACACGCGAACGCTCTGAGGAGACGGCAGCGACCAATGTCAGCCCGCGAGTGACAGTGACACACCAATGTCAGGACGTGCGGACATCCTTTGGGGATGACATAAAACATTTGGTAACGGACGACAGAACTTTGTCATGCTGCTATCTCATGCAAGTCACCCAACACATCAATATACCAGTACCCAACCGTTCGCGTACATGAAGGACGCAATGGACTTCACCTTCTATTTTAACATGTTTCAGAGATCAACGCTTTCACATTTAAACCGCTTCATACAACTATACATTCCTCTTCTTGAGCCGCTTCTTCTCTGCTGAGGCGCTTGCATGTTTCGTTACTGCGGGCGACCGGTGGCGGTGCTGTCTCACACTGTGTTCCCTAGAGAGGGGTTACTGCGAGCGACCGGTGGTGGCGCTGACTAACACTGTGATCCCTGGAGAGGGGTTACTGCGGGCGACCGGTGGCGGTTCTGACTCACACTGTGTTCCCTAGAGAGAGGTTACTGCGAGCGACCGGTGGTGGCGCTGACTAACACTGTGATCCCTGGAGAGGGGTTGCTGCGAGCGACCGGTGGTGGCGCTGACTCACACTGTGATCCCTGGAGAGGGGTTACTGCGGGCGACCGGTGACGGCGCTGACTCACACTGTGCTCCCTGGAGCGGGGTAGCGGCTCATCGCTCGGGCGGTACACGCTCGCCACGGTGACGGTGCCGGCCAGCTCGTTGCTGATCTGCTCTCGAGCCAGCTCGCTGTACGGCCGCTCCAGCTTCACACCCAGAGCCGGCGACTCCACCTGCCCGGTCAGGTCAGGCCAGGTCAGGTCAGGTCATGTCAGGTCAGAGCAGGTCAGGTCAGGTCAGGTCAGGTGAGGTCAGAGCAGGGCAGGGCAGGTCTGGTTCCCCACACAGCACCAGTCGCACTCACTGGTAAGTCTGATCATGTCAATTCCCCTCAAATCAGTCCATGACAGAAATAATGACAGAAATATACGGTAGCCGCTTCAGTCCAGAAATGGCTTTTGAAAAAAGGGATGGCATGACATTTTCGGGGTATCATATCTCTGCTTTGTACACATCAGTGCTGAATGACCACGTCGCTCTCGGTGTGCCGCCCTGCAGCAGCTGCGGCGAGGGTCCGATGATGCCACGCGTGTTACGAAGATATGATAAGGTGTGGTATGGTGCGGGGCGGTAAAGCGATTGCGGCGTACTGTAGTACGGTACGGTATGGTAATGATATTTCAAAATGGCACAACCAACGATTGTTAAGTTTTTGTGCCCCCCCGAGCAGTGTGACGAGCAATACGTGGTACGTGTAAACGTGCCCACTGGTTCATCACAGGAACGCAAAATTCGTAACTGGGCAACACTCGTCGAATGGCTGCAGGAAAGCGGGCCCCTATCCGGGCAAAGGGGGTTTACAGCGAAACCAAAGCAGCGTATTTTGACTGGGAAAAGGAGGGACAATCGTACAGGCAAGGGTGCAAACCAATGCGTGCAGCTACGGGCGAGCACTCGTGCAACAGCTGGTGATTCGGCGAGTTTGGGGCGTTTTGCAGGATTCATATCAGGCCTTGGCACCCGGCCAAATAACAGCATGTAATCACCGGTGCAGCGTTCGCCCAAGTACCGTCTACAAACGTTACGCAATCTCCCCGCTCGCGGACCCATAACGATGCCAACACATCACGAGCTATCGCAACGCTCTCGGAATCACAGCGACAACAGCGATCGATGGGAAAGCGACCAACGCCGCGCGTTCGAAATCGATCTTGAATTCGGCATGGAAGCACCCAATTCAGGTGAAACGGATGCGTGAACACATGTGTGAAGACTGATTCACGGAGGGCAACATCCACCCAATAGTTCTGTGTATTTTGCTAGTTGGATTCAAGCCCTTTCCACCAACAATGATCATTTCAGGGGTATGGGATAAACGAGAATGTATAACGGTGAGGCAGGACAGGACATGCACCTGAGGGGGGCCAAACACCGAGCCTTAGCACGCGCAGGGACCCTCTGCGGGGTATGCACCGAGCGCCCGGTCGGCCTCCCCTCCAGGGGCCCTCTCGGTCCCCTCGTGGCTGGCGCATGCAGCCCGCGTGGGCGTCGCGAGGATGAAGGATGAAGCAAGAAAGAGGATAACACGGTCGGATCAGTTTCGAGCATTTCGAAATGCGTTCGCCCCCATACCTAAAGCGTCAGTCATTATGGCTTCGCCGCTGTCAGCGGTGCGGCGTGCTGAGCCCCCTCGCCGGCCCACCGCGGACCATGTGCTGGCACACACGTTGCGTGCTTTTACTAGCTGTGGTCATTTAGGCGTGTGACTGGGCGTTGGGCAACCGGGGTCGTGACCACCAGGTGCAAAAACAATTTGTTAGTGCGGTAAATTGCCTTCGCAATTCTGTGCAGTCCAAAGCAGCGTACAGCACTGTATATTCTTCTCCGAAATGCATATCTCCTCCGGAGTTTAGGATATATGCTCTACGAAAAACGTATGGGGGAGGGAAAACCCGACCGACGCGACCTCGCAAAAACATTCCGCCACCGCTGGCCAGAGCCGCGCTCGGCGCGCCGCACGTGTCCCGCGTCCATACCTGATGCGTGTCCAGGTCAGCGTTGAGGTGGGTCAGCAGCGAGCAGTCGTAGTGGACGGGGGTGGTGGGCCAGGCGCGGGCCCGGCCCTGGTCGGCCCAGCTCAGCGCTTTGAGGGCGAGCGCGCGGTTGGTTCCACCCAGCGACAGACCGTTGGCGTCCCTCAGACGGACACCCTGTGCCGCGCACGGGCGCGCGTCAGCTGGCAGAGGGTGCGCTGGTCCCACATGCCGTCAGATCGGGGGGTCCATCGGACAGACACTCTGTACCACACACGGGCGCGCGTCAGCTGGCAGAGGGTGCGCTGGTCCCACATGCCGTCAGATCGGGGGGTCCATCGGACAGACACCCTGTGCCGCGCACGGGCGCGCGTCAGCTGGCAGAGGGTGCGCTGGTCCCACATGCCGTCAGATCGGGGGGTCCATCAGGCGGACACCCTGTGCCGCGCACGGGTGCGCGTCAGCTGGCGGAGGGTGCGCTGGTCCCACATGCCGTCAGATCGGGGGGTCCATCGGACAGACACTCTGCCACACACGGGCGCGCGTCAGCTGGCAGAGGGAGCACTGGTCCCCATGCCGTCAGATCGAGGGAGGGGGGGGGGGGGGAGGGGTCGACCAGAGGTGCACCAACACATCGACTCAACAAGCAGACCAATGAAAAGCGGTCAGCGGCGCAGACCAGCAGGAGCGCCGTTCCTGTCCGGTCGTACCCCGTCGCCTGTGCGCACGTGTGCACCCACACCCACCCATACGCACGCTCAAACGCACGCTTCCGTGAGACGGCATCAAACCACAACACGACAATCACCAATTACACACAGACCTCAATTATTTCAACTCAGCAGATTACGAGGTCCTGATAATGAATATGCATGTGGGTGCTGATCATTCAGATATCGGACCCATTACTCCCTCTTGAATATCGGGAAACGTTACAGCACCTTCTGAGCTCGTCACACAGGCCGATCACAGGCCTGACGTGGCGTGGGCCGACCGACATAATAATGGAGGCGGCAGTCCGTATTGTGCGGATAATACCACAGCCCCAGCTAATGGAGCCATGCGTCTTTGAGTGCTCACACAGAAAGTGTGGCCTGGTAATATACGCTGACAAATACAAATTCACTGAAACAAAAAATGACCACCGCGGGGAAATCCGAACGCTCAAGACAAATTATTCCAATATACGTATTCCATTACCACAGCACCAACATCCTATTACAATTCCATCTCTAATGCATGCAGTGACATACAGCTGTGATTTCATCACGGTCGACTCCTGTGCCACGAGCCGTGATTCGGCGAGAGCGCGACGGCAAGGCCTGACTACAGTGCGTACCGCCTCGTCCATCTCCTGAAGCAGACCGCGGGCAAACCGGACGTTCTCCGTCGTCTTCGGCTGCCGGCCCAGGCACTGGAACACCAGCGCGTAGCTCTCGGCGTCTGGCGCCACCAGGTCGTCGCGCATCACCTTCAGCACGTCCGAGACGCGGTCCAGCTGGCCCTGCAGGGCGGCGGATGGCAAGGAGTCCGTAGCGGTCAGCAACGTCTCCACCGCCGCCGCAGACACCGCGCCCAGCACCAGTGGCCGCCATCACCAGCACAGCGCGCCCCAAACGGGGAGGCCATCACCCAGCGATCACGCCACGGAGTCACACCGGTGTCGCGATGTTCCCCTCACCTAGCGTAGGACGTGGTGCGCCGCGCGGAAGTCAGTACGTCGCCGCGGGAGCAAAGCTAGCCGATGTTTCGACAAGCTCTCACCACACTGCTTCCGTTGTGTTCAGTGCCCATTGGGGTGTGAATGGAAAAGCAGAAGCGTGGACGACTGGGTACACTTTCGCGTGGTCTAACATGACGTGTCGTTACAGAGGAAAGCTCCGACCGCGGACCCGACACGGGCCCGCCAATTTGGGACACGGTCATGGTTACTACGATATATCGACAACCAGAGCAGATCAAAAGCGTGACACGATCGACATCCGTGCTTGAATACACCACCCATATATCCCCAGGTAATCTCAACTGTTCGACGCATGACGGTTCCAGCCTTTGACCGGAAGCTCTGCCGACGTATGTTCGTCTGGGGTGCATCACGCAAACTGGTTAAGTACTAAATCATACACGACACGTCGCGGCTGCGACTCGTACGTACGGAAAATTAGCTTCCATGCCTAAAAATTTCACAAAAAACGGGCCATGCCAGTGGGACACGGACCATTCTACGTGTGGGGGGTAATAAAAAGCATCACCCCTGCAGAAAATACCGCCCACAGCAGGTTTCGGCCCCCTTTTCACAGCACAAACTCCCCAGTAGACCGCGCCCCGAGCGTGGCCCACCTTCTTGGCGAAGCCAGCCAGCAGCGTGTTGTGGAGCCGCACGTCCCGCACGTCCGTGGTGCGGTGGAAGTTGCGGCTGAGGTTGCGGTAGTACAGCAGCGTGTTGTAGGCCCTGTTCACCAGGCCGCTGTTCACCTGCCCAACCGGCCACACAGGCGTCACAGGCAGAAGGCACATGCTGATATAGAGCTTTCCAAAATTAATGTTTTTTCCGCACTAGTTATTTCCATCACTGTTATCCAGCTTTACTGTTCTACGCCGGCCATTTCCTTACACAAACTTCCAGGTAGCAGTGCAGGCTGGAGAGGAAGCTGGCCTGCTTGCCGGCCTTCTGCATCTCCAACAGCTTGGCGGCAGCCACCTTCTGTCGAGCCCCCGGGCGCGGCTGACTGGCGCGTTCCTTCCTGCGGGACGGACAGTGTTCCACTGGGAGGCCGATACAATGGAAACAGGACAAATCCAGCGTGATAAGTTGGAAAACAGGATCGGGATACAGCGGAAGCGGTGAGATAAAGGAAAGTGCTAACTTCAAGGTTGATATTTATAGATGAACGAGCGTACGAGTTGTTCAATAGCAACAAAAAATGCCATTTTCTTGGATGCATCATCAACAGCTCATCTCTTTTTCTGTCAAATTCTTTCTAGATTTTCTAGATTTCTACACAACATTTTCTAATGAACCCTAGGCCCGGGTTAGGTTAGGTTAGGTTAGGTTAGGTTAGGTTAGGTTAGGTTAGGTTAGGTTAGGTTAGGTTAGGTTAGGTTAGGTTAGGTTAGGTTAGGTTAGGTTAGGTTTACCCTCAGGTAAGAAATTACCCTCACGGTACCTTGCTCCTTGCTAAGAACACACTACTTGCGGCTATCTATTTTGACTTATCATGCTTCTAAAGTAAATTTGTGACAACGTCGTCCTGTCATGAACGCTATCAAAGCTATCGATACCTTGCTACGCGCAAAATACACGGAGATCGCCCACAAGGCTGGTAAAAATATGTTTCCAAAACCACATTACCATTTGGTGGCATTTGGATACATGGGGCCATAAGTTAAAACTAGCTCAAACTTAACTGATGAAACGTGATTTACGGACTGGCCTGTGCCATACTCGGGTTAAATCCATATTCTTATCATGCCAGAACGCGTCATCCGAATTCCATTTATCGAGGTGTGCCAAATGTCACACTATAATCGGGGTTCTACACAGGGCCAAAACCGTTCCCACAGCGGCCGGGCCGGGCCGATGAGCGTACGCACTTGCGCTGCAGTTTGCGGCTGAGATCCAGAGCCGCCGCGTCCTCGTCCGCCTCCTCGGCCTCCTCGCCCACAGCCGGCTCGAAGCAGCCCAGCGGCGAGACGCGCAGGGCGTCCGAGAGCGCCTCGCCGGCCGCCTCGTCGGCCTCGGACAGCCTGGCGTCGGGCGGCACCGGCGGCTGGGCCGGCTCGGCGCTGGCCGGGCCGGCGCGCACGCCCGGCCACAGCGCCGGGTCCAGCTTGGCCACGCGCCTCTGCACGAGGCTGGCCGAATTGGCGCCCACTGCGAGCGGAAACACAGCCCGTGTTGTCGTCGATTGTGCCATTATTCTAACTGCCAATCAGGAATGGTCACAGGAGCTAGTCAACAGCATCTGTATGTAACGGACGATAAAACGCCTGCTTAAGTTGACAAAACGCACATACCTGCCCAATGTTAAATGTGTCCAACATTCACTTCTCTGCTCATGTAGTGATGATCTCACGATGTTAAGCTGCATCGTGCCATTGTTTTAAGTCGTGTGCCAGTGCTAGAGCCACCGCGATGGCTGCATGAGGTCATACCTTGTAAAACCTCAGCATAGTGTTTCTTTGGTTTCCGCTTTTTCTTTGCAGCTTTTGTTGGAGGGTTCTTCGTTGTATCCGAAGACAAATATCTCCATATCGATCCTGGGGGATTTCCGAGTCGAGGTGAGGACACAGTTCGCACATCAATATGGCCTGAAACGTTATTTAGATAAGCAATGAACAATTTGTTTTTTGGAAAAATGAAACCCACATTGTATGCTTTACATGTGTGCACAAGTACATGTTTCCTTGGAATACAAGTGCACATAACACACAGACACAGACATGAACACACACTTGAAAGCCTGCTTTAAAGGGCACCATGCTCGAAATAGAAATAAAGTAGAAGAAGCCATATATCATGGTCTTTTATAAGTTGTGGTGCTTAACATCTTATACTTTGTTATCTTTCCACTGTGATTTGTTAGTTTCCCAATGAACATCTCCTAGGGCCATTCCTGTCCATCCTGATGGCTCATTGATTAGAGGGCCTGCCTTCCAATCCACACAACCATGAGGGAGTTGCTTTAAGGGCTCCTATTTGCCCTTGACAGATGTCCCAAAAGGGGTGGCAGCACTGCAGCTAAAGGTCATCTGCCATCATAGGGCACAACAAACTGTGGCCAGCATTGCAGCATGTTAAATTCTTGTCACCAATTTCAGCTTTTAGCATTGTGCTATCAGATGAAAGGGGCCAGGGTTCATACACCAAGCACTGTTTAGTGTGGGCTCTGTTTGCATAAATCCTCACATCCAGGGGTTTGGACAAAAATATTATTGTCTGATTGTCTGATTCAACATCTATGACAGCCTGTCACAAAACTTGAAATAAGTCTGATTTGTCTGTTACTGGGCATGTGGAAAGGAATGTCTTTGCATTCTACAAGAATATACTTTCTGCATATGTGGGGTAAACATGGTGTGCAAAGCCATTTGAAGGCTATTTCCATTTACCACACGCATCCATAAGTACAGCAATCTAAACTTTAAAACCACACCCTTTAGACAGTTCACACCAGACAGGGCTGTAAATAGCACCACTAAGGCAAGTGTGCCATAATTTAGGACTATTCAACATGTGCCTACTGAAAATGCAATATAAAATCCTAGCACTCCGCAGCCTGTGAAGGGTTTGACAAGACAACATATGTAGACAGTGGGCTGAACATCTCCGAACTTTTTATATTGAGAACTGACTTTTTCCTTGTCTACAAAAATCCATCCACTACATAGAGCTACGCGACATTGGTTCCCCAATCTACACACATTCATGTGCTACAGACTGAGCACAGGTCAAATTACACCAAATCTCAGATAATTTTTACATAAAAAATATCTTGACAATACTGTAACATAAAAAACCTTTGCAACATCATCACTCCTTGAGAATGTGGGCCCATTTGCCTTTAAATCAGTGGTGGCCATATAACTGAACTGAGTGCGTGGATCAACATGTACACACATTGAAATCGCTGGCCCAATATCGCTGCCAAACCACACATATCTGGTTCAACAAACATTTCTGCAGTATGAGTCTTTCTTACTTGGACTTGAAATAACTTTAAAAAGGGCTAGACACCCTGGTTGGGAATTTCCTGTGCCGTAGCTAACTGCCAGTTATGCGATAATTTAGTTACAATGAACAGTCTCTTCCTTCTTCTAGGTATGCATGTACCTGCTATAAAGCAAAACAAAAAGTAAGGATAACTTACTTCGTCCCACAGTGCAATTTACGTAACGGCAATACATGTCCTCGACGGCTCGACCACAATCGTCAGCATTTGGCACCATGGGCTTTTCGACATGTTGTTTTATGTCTCCGGAGCACCAGAACTGTACCAATTACCAAATTCAGTCCTCTTTCTAGACTAATGAGGATGCTATTCTATAATTGTGTTACCTCTGACTATAACAATAAACCATTCTAAATTTGAAAAAGTATCTTTGTAATTTTAGAATTTGACAATCAGTGATTGAAGGAAGCACCTCAAATTTGAGTTGCATCGATATCAAGCTGGTATTATGTTAAGCTTAGTATGTATTAGCACAAATTGTGTCGCCTCCCATTCTGTTTGAAAACATTAGGCCTCATTTGCGCCCTATATGCGAGATTTATACGCGTATAGGGCATGCTGTTTCTTTTGCATCTCGGTTTTCTGACCTATGGCCGCTTAAGCCGCCTGTATGTAGGATAAAGTTACCAAGCAATTTACCAACACTCCAGGCAAGCTACGTGACGCCGCTGGTACTGGGCGCCACCTCCCCCCCCCCCCGCGCTGCGAGCATGCGTGGGCGGCTACAGGGGTGTGGCACGGGCGTCGATTTGTATTCTTTTGTGAGGGCCCTACCCCCCCCCCCCTCACACATGTTAAGTAGGGTCCCCCAATGTTGGCTTGGCCCCCCAGTGTTTTTGGCTGGAATACAACAAAAAACAAGTAGGTAATAGATGATCGTAACACAAAGACTATCTTTTTTGGTCTTTCTGCATGGTGGCGTCTCGCACCACTCTCATGGCAAAAAGTCATGGCTGCTCTCCCCATAAGATGCAAATCGTAACAGCTGAGCGGATAAACGATGCCATTAACTTCCCATACCTATCGCTATGAGACACGCAACGGTTTGTGAGCTTAAAGTGAAAAGCTCTGGAATATGGGGATGGCCTAAGTCCTTCATGGCTTACCCCATCCCCCACAACTAAATGCGTACCGCCTCCCATGACCGCCAAAGAAGAGTGCCATCGGCGCCCTAAGGTGGCGCCTAAAGGGGCACCTTCACGTGCCGATCAGAACAGACCTAGGCTTCCAGTGCCAGCCCCCTGGATCCAGCCCTGCATGGCTTCTACACTGCCCAAAATTAGGGACTTATAAATTATACAAAGATGAAAAACATATATTGCATTATATCAGAATGTAGTACGCTAAATCTGGTGAGAATAAAACGGGGGAGTCAGTTGTCGGTCCTTTGTTTCAGCCTCAATATTTTACAAAAATTGGCATACCTAGGGTGTAGTTTATTATTTGGTTAGAGGCCCCAGCGTCCCACCCATCCCCCCAATTTTGAATTCACCCTGTGCCCAGCTTTGAGGGAAAAGTGGGCTAAATCCGGGGAGAAACCCGTTTATTGGCGAAATTTGATGTAACTGTTTCACGGTTCGACCCCAGCGCACTTTGCAATTACGTAAAAATACCCTTAGGCAGGGGCACAACCAGAGCCTTGGCAGGGGGTGGGGGCCGGGGCTGACAAAGGGCCCCCCAGGGGCGGATCTAGGACTTCGTCTAGGGGGGGGGGCACGGGACATTGTGGCGCCCCCTGGAGTTTGGGCCCCCCTCCCAAAAAATATCAATTTCGGTCATAACATTTTAAGAGAAGTTGCATCGAATATATATATATATATATATATATATATATATATATATATATATATATAAGCAGGTGGGCGTGCTGCTACGCATGCATATGTAAGTTCTGCCCTCCCGGTGTCTCGTCTCCGGCTCATTAGTACACTCAGTACGTCCAAAGTCACTTCCGTGTTTGGCACCCGTCACAGACACTCCACGCAGTCCGTCCCGCCGGCGCGTCCATCCTCGCGCCGGCGGCTATCCGAGTCCTCTCCTTCTTACTTCACCTTTCCTGGCCCCCCAAGCCGCGTGCCTCACACGGGGCGTCTGGGCCAGGAGGAGGGGAACGCGAACGCCCCGAAGAGGCGCTCGCCAAACTAAGCAAACGTTCACTGGTAGTACATAGGTGTTCTCTGACACCTTACACATACACAAGTGCATATAGAGTACACATAAGTGGCTCTCGTCAATAAGTATAGGGCCCTCAGAGCAAGCAAAAAGAACGCGAGACCAACGTGGTAGGCCCCTGAACGATCGGTAGTGCCCCGGCAAGCTGACATACAAGGCCCCGGCCATAGCCCAGGACCCTCCGAGCAAAGCGGAATTATCCAAGACCACGAATTAATACTCCTGTGCGATCAAGAGTGCACGGGCAGGTTAGCAACACGAGCCTCGATGGAAGTAAAGAGTCCTCCGCAAATGAGACCAAAGGGAGAGAGCTCTCAATCACAGTAGAGGACCCCTAAGCATCGAGTGTCTCTGTGCCTTACCTTATAAGAGTCCTAGCAACAGCACAAGGCCCTCCAGGCAAGTGGAAAGAGCCCGAGACTTATATGAAGGGCAACTGAGCGTACCCTGGCAAATGGGACCCCGGAAAAAGAGTACCTTTCGGGCGAATGGGAAGAATCCGTGGAGGAAAACCTGATCAATCAACCGTACTCAGGCATGGAGGCAAATAGCGTCCCAAAAGCCCATTGAGTCCTTCGAGAAAATGCAAAGAGATCAAGGACAACGTGGAAAGCTCATTAGCGATCAGATTGATCCGGCATGTGGACATATAGAGCCAGGCACCCAACAGCGTAATGCCTCTAGACCGCGTAATGAGCCCCAAAATTTCCCCAAAGCAACACCTTCTCAATCAACGAAGAATGAGCTTTGGGCTGGAGTCTGGAGTAGGGCTGGAGGGCTCACCGTTTCGTACTGGGGGCCTTGGCTGGCACAGGACCCTTCTTTTACCTCAAGGTTGGCACTCATCATTAGCTCTTACGTTGTCAGAGGGCCCCGACCAACGCAAGAGACCCTCTGCCATTCGGGCTCCCGTCCTCGTCCATGTCGGGAAAATCTTCCCCTGACCGATTCGAGGCCCCCCTGTTGGCACAGAATGCCCCGGGGCACTGCAGACCCCTGAACAATACAGGAGCCCGACCGATGTAAATTGATGGCCCGGCCTTGTCCCTGGAATGATAGCCGCCGGAAATGGACCCTACGAGCTCAGACCAACACAGAGCCGACTGTTCGTTGTTCGAGATCTCTGGTCGAAATAGAGGAATGTTGTCTCAGGGGTCCCTATCGGTGCGAAAGATCATCTTGCTGACATTTGGGATCACAGCCCTATGGGCGGGGGTCCTTCACGTGGCCTACAGCCAGCTCTTCGGACCCTTCAGCCATCCCATCGGTCCTTGATCTTTGGTCTCGAGAGGCGCTTTGGCCCTTCTTCGGGATCCCTTAAACATCGTTCCCACTCGGAGCCACTTGCCGCCACAGGACGTCTGTTCGCTACTGCGGCCCCTTATCGACACAGGAACCCCTCATTGTGTCAAGGACCTTGAACATTGCAAATCGCGGACCCCGGGCTCGTTTCCGCGTGGGTAATGGGTTTAAAGGGCTCAGACGTACATGGAGTCGACTGGTGTTCGTGGTCTCTGACCGACTTAGACATCCACATTGTTTCAGAGGCTTCTCAAACGGTACAAGAGGACCTCTGACTGATATATTAGGCCACGACCCTACGGGCCGCGATTCTTCATGTGACCTACAGTCAGTCCTTCGGTTCCTTGTGTCCTCCAACCGGGTCTTTGATCGTCGGTTCTGGTGGGCCGCCCGGGTCCCTCTTCGGGCCTCATCGAACACTTCCCTTGGTCAGCCCGGGGCCCTTGCGAGCACAGGGCCCTCTGTTAGGCACTGTGGGCCTCTGTCAGATACATGGCCCCCGACCAGTGTAAATCACTGGTTGAGACTTTATGGTTGATTGGGAAGTGAGTCCTCAGGCCCATACAGAAACGGAGCCGACTATGTGGTAGAGTGGTACCTGACCGACATATAGACCCATATCGACTCAGGAGGTCCCCGATCGGCGCAAAGGAGCCTCTGGCCGTTATTTGAAGGCCGGTCTTCGCGGATCAAGGCTCCTGAATAAGACTACGACCAGCCCTTTATACGCTCAGACCCTCCAATCGGACCCTTGATTGTCGGATCCGTGGGTTCCTCTAGGCTCTTCGGGGTTCCTCGAACACTTCTTTTGGCTAATCGGGGCCCCTGTTAGGCGCTGTGGTGCCCCAAGCAAGGTAAATCGCTGGCTCCGGCTTTGTCCCTGTTTGGGAAAATGGGCCCTCAGGCCCATACCGCCACGGAGCCGACTGTGCGTTACTGGCGGTGCCTGACCAAAACATAGGCCGTTATCGACTCAGTGGGCCCCTGATCAGCGCGCGAGGCCCTCTGGCTGGCATTGGAGTGCCCGGCCCTGCGGGCCGGGGCCCCTGAGTGAGACCTCCGGCCGGTTTTTCGGGCTCTTCGGGCCCTCAAATCGGAACCTAAGCGGGGGGCACGTGCCTCCTGCACCTCCCCCTCCCCTCTCCCCGCCCGCGCCGCTGGCCCCAGGGGAATCTCATGCGACGGCCCAATCACCACCGCCCCATGTCTCGTGCCACAGCACGAGCGCAATACCGTACCGTATGGTATATTTCATGAATGCAAAATATAACGCAACTATTCTCGCGAGCTTGCTTTGCCAAGCGACAGAGCTGATGATTATAGGTGAAAACGTACGCGAAGGCTTGCGGCGTGCTATGGACGTACCATGACCGCAAGGATGCCTGATGGAAACCTCATGTGATGTACTGATTACCATGAATGTATGTGGGTATGTAGGAGTGGGAAAAGCAGCTTCATCTGCAATCAAGTTTTTTGTACAGCAGTACAAGTACATGACTTTTAAGAAAAGAGTAAGGATACCCGTCTAATCGTTCTAGATACCTTCCCTTGCCTAGCCAAGTGCAAGTAATTTTTACTGATATGGCAGTAATTTGATATGCTTGCATTTCGGCGCATCGGCTACACTATGAATTTGTGTTTGTTTTTAGCCGAGTCTGGGTCACAATCTCGGAGTGTAGCCTTGTGTAGGAGTTGAGGTGGCATGCGATTGCGGTCTGCCTCATGGCGCCTTAGATGTAATCTGAGGCATGATGAGGCACACGATATATGACAAATTTCGGTGTTCACATATGCCTTCTTCTTTCCTGAGTATTTTTATATTCGATTATTGGTGATGCCTTGTAATGTGGTTGCATATCACAAGGCAACTAGAGTTGTGGACCATACTGAACGTTTCAAGTGAACTGTTACTCCTTGCCTGAGCAGATCGTCACATTTTGCTATCAAGGTGACAGACTGCATTTTATCATATCTATGCTTCACTTGCTTCTTAAGCATGGGCCAGATAATAATTGTTTTGCTTCAGGGTAACCAGACTGTAAAATGCATGTTATAGCTACCATGCCTGATGTAGTAATGTCATTGCTGCAGAGTGGAAATTAAAGTGCATGCCTGCTAGGAATTTTGATGCACAGAGTTTGACCTACTTTAGCCACTAATTTCTGCACATAGGAATGATGAAGTTTTAGGTTTCAGCACATATTAATTGGGAAAGGAGTTGTAAACTTGTAAAAATGATTTCAGGCTGAATGCCAAAATGCCCCAAAAACAATTTCACACAATAGAAATATTCAAAGTTAGCTCAATTTGGTCTGATCTGAATTCAGTGCACAAGAGCATGAGATTGAACACATACTGCATAAGCATCCTGCATAGAGAATGGATTCCTGGCAGACTTTGCTATCTAGGTTTCCTTATGGGAATCAAGTCACTGGTAAATGTGATACCAGTTGAGATAGTAAGATGATACTAGTTAGATCAAGTAGTGAATTCTACTATGCAAGCTCTGAAAACATAGTTAATTTGACTTTTAACTATTCTAAGAGTTTATGTGCACCATCATGTTTGGTCTGTTCCAGGTACCATCTCCTCCAACTTTTGATATCACACACATATTCAGCAATTCCTGATCAGCAATAAGTTTGTTCACAATGGAGGACACAGCTGACAGGACCTCATCTGTGGATGGACTGTTGGGTATGTACTGTTTGTTTGACTTGGGTGTTTTATTTAGTACAACAATGGAATGCTAGTAGGACTTGCAGAATTCATTTTATTTCATCATCACTCACCTCAGTTCAGTCCTTTGCCTGGTTCTGGTTGTGCAAGATTATTTCTGGTTCTTACTATATGAATGGTCAGACTCAGACTCTGTCTCTATTCTGACTTATGGAAACATCAGTCTGTCCCTGTGACATGATATTGCAATGTAGTTCAATTTTTATATCTGGAATGTCGCATCCTGCTGGTTTGGGGTTCAGAGTGCTTGCTATTTGGAGATTGTGCTGTGCTTTCATAGCCCACCAACTAAAGTAGACCAATGCAGCTTATGGGGTAATTTTTCCTGCACTTGTCGTGCCAAACAGGAGCAGGGAACGTGCTCTGTGTGGTGTGGTGAGCCGGCAGCTTGACTGACTTCTGACCTTGTGTTTTGTTTTCCAGTAGTTGTATAGCTTGCCAGGCTCCTGTGCTGCAACAAAACCAATAAAAGACATTGTTTTGTGCACCTTTATGAAGCCAAAATAGGATGTTTTTGTGGATTGTGTCTCATCAGCATACAAGCCAGAAACAAGTAAATTCCACTTGATGTCTTAGAAAGACAGCAATAGTAGCCTCATTTATCAGAAAAACATGATAATGGAGATACAAATGTGTTTTTTGGGCATATTTTGGCAGCATACCCTTATGGAAATGAATAGCAGAAGTGAATTCAACATCACTTGCAGACAATGCTTCTGGGTGTTTCAGGTTTTTGAAACAGCGAGCCATAGTTTTCGCAGAACACCATCATTCAGTGGGCTAAACAAAGAGCAATTGCCAGCCATTACTATGATACAGCACATATCTAACTATGAATTAGAATACATGAAGAATAGCGAACATGCAAACAAATTAAAGTAAACAGGTATTACACATTATGCTTCATTCAAGCATGCAGGTTCAAGAAAACAGTCATCACACGCCATGCATCAGTTATACATGCAAATGATTTAAATTAAACAGGCATCGTGCATCATGCTTCAGGCATCACATATGTGTAAACAATTTTAAGCTGGTACACATCACACATCAAGGCACATATCATGCTCGCATAATCGGCCATGATGAGGCCTGTGCAATAGGGGTTGGTCACAGACTTTTTGTAAGAATAGATTCACTTATTTTCCTGTCTGGTTGGTTGTGTGCACTGCATATATGCGGTATACATCTTGCATTTCAGCCTGAGCATGTTTTTTGCAAAAACTGGTCACCGAAAGCGGTATTGCCTATTTTGTTTTTAGCGTCCCGCAGTTTTCCATTATATCTCCAACGAAAAGGGTTCATGGACTCACCGACATTAAGTATATGCCTCCGATGTGTATCACACAATTTACATTTAAGTTCTTAAACCACGTTTTTTGGTGTGCTTGTGCTGTTCGTTCCGATAACGGCACAATGTTCCTCGCAAATACACCTGATACTTGACGTAATTTTGATCTCTTGGTTCTTAGGTCGTGGATGAGTTGAGCGCATGAGTCGGAATAACCCGTTTCTTGCTTCATCTGTCCATGCAAAACAAATAAGACGTGTGAAGATTTGACATTTTGCTTTGTTTATATATATAAAACTAGATCCCGGTTTGATAATGCCCCAGCGGCTTTAACTGCTTGCATAAAATATATATATCGTTTTTTTCAGCTCACCGAACTCCTCAATGCGTCATTGTTTGATTACGCCATCTCACCTTGCACAACATTGATTGAGAGTCAAGTACGGCCATTATCATGCCGTCATGGATACCTGGCCGGCATCCATGACGGCATCCTGGGTCTCCCCGAAACGGTCCGCACGTATTCGTGGGCGTGTAGCTCAGAAACTGGAGAAGTTTAGGCCTTGCGAGGGGCAGGGCTGTGAACTGCACCGAATGATCTTCAATATGACGATTTCAGCTCAAATGCCCACACAAATATGGAACACTCTTAAGGATGCTGAATATTTACGATCGCTGGGACTATTTGCCGTGGAGCTAAACTGAAAAGCCAAGGCTGTTAGGCGCCCCCATCAAATGCCCAGTCCTCATAAATCGACTTCATTTAACGCAAAAGTACGCCGAGTAATTGTCCAATGCCTTCACCAATAATGTACGGCTCGTTTGTGTGTGAGCCAGCCGTTGGTGGGTTCAGCGGGGTATTGATGAGCATCTATTTGGCAAGTGACTAGATCACAGGCGTTGCGTAATATATGCATCTTTGTAGGTGTTGGAAATGACGTGCTGTGGTAAGCTGCCGCCAACGGTGTGTGCGTTATGCTGCTGACACTAAACAGATAATCGCGCGATGTCTGAATGGTTTGAAAAATTTGTGCTCCAGTTTACGTTGTGTTGTGTTGCACGTCTAGCAGCAGCTTCCAGTCAGCACCAGCTAGAGAACTGGTCACGTGGAGTGGGCCCGGATGTCGTCGTCGTGACGTCATCGATCCAGCATGCTCGGCGATGTCGGCAGGCCACCCGCTGGTGCTGGTGGTGGTGTCGGCACTCTGGGGGTTCACCAACCCGCTGCTCAAGCGCAACAGTGAGGGACTCGAGGACATCCAGGAGTCGGGCCGCCTGCGACAGCTCGCCGCCGAGATTAAGTTCCTGGCCACCAACTGCCGAGTATGTCCGAGGCGACCGCCGCCATCCTGTTGAACCGCAACGGGCTGGGTCAGTGCAGTGGGGGCGGGGCTGGCGGCTGAGTGGCGGCCGGACGGGCGTCGAGTGGTGTTCGTTTGAAGTGTCGTCTGCCATGCTGTGCGCCGCCACTCCCGGCTCTTCGACCAGGCGGGCGTCGAGCGGTGCTCGTTTGAAGTGTCATCTGCCGCGTTGAGCGCTGGCGCTCCCGGCTGTTCTGGCCGGAAGCAACAGCCGCCGTCACCGCTGCATTAAGCATGGACAATTTCTGGGAGGCGTGTAAATGCTGGTGTTACCCTGGACTTGAGCAACGTGCTCGCTTCATGTGTTCCTATCTGTTCTGTGGGCACTGGCTTCCTTCATATGGACAGATAGAGGCAAAACACGGGTTAGATCCGAATAGGTTGGGGAAGGGAGGGGGGAGAAGGAGCCTCAGATTAGCAGCATTGTTCCGACTGTCGGGGTGGCTCGTGCGGTGTCAGTGCACTGGTGTAACTCGATGACATTCAACGGCCGCATCTTGAAAGTCGGGATCCTGCACCCGTCCTAGGTGCTGAACTATCTCTAAAACAGTCCTACTTCGGTGGCATGTCCTTTGCCCTCCCTCTTCGGATGCCTTCAAGACATTGGAACATGTCACATGCATCCTCACATTATGGCTGATAGAGCTAAGGCATCACACATAATGTGCCTTCGCCTTCCTGGCCGCGACACTCTGGTGCGCGAAATATCGAACATGCCACCTGGCGCTCATCCATTTCATAAATCATGACGGTATCTTCATAACGACGGTAACGGTAACACTGCGGTGACAGCTTCGGTAACAAATGCGGTTGTCACCTCTGGCGGCAGTGTGAATGAAGTGCGTGAGTGTTGGATGATGAGGAGTGGCGTTAGCGGGGCTAACTGAAGAGGGGATTACCACAGTCTCGGTGTATCCGAGCCCGGGACCATGTCTACCGCTGCAGTCCTGGCAGTGGGCGACTCATGCGACCATCTGTAGCCTTGACCATCCCGAAGTGTCGCCTCCCATGCGAGCTGCCACCACGGAGGCCCTAGGCACTTCTTCTCTCCCTCCAATTATGTTTCGGGGTTCTGGCAGCAGAGGGCCAGGCTGCTGCAGCACAGTGGCGCCCTGTACTGCCCTCATGTGTTCCCGTTATTCTCCCATGTCACATTTCCTGCCAGTCTCCCATGTCACCTTTTCCGTCAGTCCCCCATGTCACCTTGCCCGTCATTCTCCCATGTCACCTTGCCTGTCAGTCTGCCATGTCGCATTTCCCGTCAGTCTCCCATGTCACCTTTCCCGGCAGTCTTCCATGTCACCTGTCCTGCCAGTCTCCCATGTCACCTTTTCCGTCTGTCTCCCATGTCACATTTTCCGTCGGCCTTCCATGTCACATTTCCCGTCAGTCTGCCATGTCACATTTTCCGTCAGCTTTCCATGCCACCTTGCCCGTCGGTCTCTCATGTCACCTTGCCCGCCAGGCTCCCATGTCACCTTGCCCATCAGTCTCCCATGTCACCTTGCCCGTCAGTCTCCCATGTCACAAGCTACATCAGTCATTTGGGTGGTCACCATGTTGGCCCTGTCCTGAACAGGGGAAGAGGGGAGGGGAAAAGACTCCACCTGACTGACATCTCTGGAACTACTGGATTGGTTATGTGTCTGTATTTGTGTAGTGTTTGATTCCTCGACGATACCAGCATTTCCAAAGACAATTTAAAGAATTTGTAATAAGGGGAAACGGAGACAGGAACCTTAAATTGAGATATTTTTGATCGGACACAGTTGTCATACTTATCAGCCGATTTCGACGCAAGCAACGCAGGTTGAGGGGCAATGACGGAGATTTGTATATTTCGGCGACATTTTCACCTTAAAAATGCATGCGCGCTTCCGTGAGCTGCAGAACGGGGTGGCAATACAACAGAGGGAGATGGGTCTGTGTTCTGTTTGCTATCAGAGAACCAGGTATAAGCGAAGATTGTCATAGGCGGAGTGGGAGCGCTTATTGGGGTGATAAAAAGGGGCAGGCCAAGTGAGTAGTTGATATTGTCAGCCAACATGCTGTTTTGCGCTTTCTTCCCTCGTGCTCTTGGAGCGAGATCGTGGGTCAGTGATGGGATACGGTAAAGCAACGAAAGTTGCAGTAAATCCGAAACGGCTTACCGGGTTCAAATCGCTTTGCGATGCGTCCAACTGTATGGGAGACGCCCCGAGAGATTTGCTCGCGTCTACTAGCGGGGAAATACCTTCGAGAGGGATTGTACTAACCCTTTGCTGGGAAGGGTTAATGTGTCCACACGTCCAGTAGGTCACGATTTTGTGCTTGTATGTTTCAGTACGTTGCTGCGTTTGTTACCAACCAGCTGGGATCTGTCCTATACTTCGTTGCCCTCGGCGCTGCTGGTATGTATCTCACGCGGAGCATCTGCTACCAAGTTTGCCCGTTGTGTCAGATGCTAGTGTCTTGAAAGTGGCTGGCTTCTTTTGCGCTAGCACTCTTCTCTTCATATGTGGCATGTGGCGCCACGGAGAACATCAGCCATGCAGTTAGTGTGCCTCTATCTCCGGAGGAAGTTCCTCATCTCTGCGCCCACGCTCAGTCTGTCAGCCCGGCCGCAAGCTCAAGGCATCCTTAAGAGTGACTTAAAGTTCACTCTTGGCCACTCTTGAGGATGAGCACGGTTCTAAATATTGAGGACCGTGCAGTTGATGCTCATGAAAGCTTCAATTAATGCTACTGCTGCGCTGCATGACCAGCACCTTTTGGTATCTTCAAAGTCATTAACTTGACGCAAGAACTTTGAAGTCTTGACACCGAAAAACCAGAGTCTGTGTGTCTTTTTTCAATCAAATCAATCAATAAAGTCGTCAATCAATCAAACAATCAAAGAAAGCTTTCTTTATTTCGGCGGCCGATGAGTTTTTGTCGTCTTGCTGCTTGATGATGTTTCCGTAGTACGTCCCCAGGGTACCCTCGTCTCAGCGTCGTATCAGCTGTCGTATCGCCACCACTGACGATGTCGTTCCCGCTGCAGATCTTTCGCTGGCGTCTCCGATCACCAGCGCGCTGACATTTTTGTTTACACACATCTGCGGCGTCCTGCTGGGGGAGCCCATTGGAAATAAAGCGCGTGAGTGATCAGGGCGGGGACTTCTGGCTTTACAAGGCGTGGTGTTGCGGCCTTCTTCCGTGTATGATGGTATTGTTGCCATCTTCCGACGAGGATAGATTGGTTGTGTTTTTATTGTTTGGTGCAACAGTTGAAACAGTATTGTCATGATGGAGATGCTCGTACGTTGATGTAGTGTTCGTTGCACGTAAGTCATAGACTAATGCGAATGCTACGTACTTATAGCAAGCGCAAAATCTTGTTTTTGTGGATTTATTTTCTCTTCCATTTCGTAATGGTTTTTATGTTTTGGCGCATTTCTTTTATTTTTAAGCAGTCATATTCGTATTCTTTTTGAAATATTTAACAAAAAGCTTTAGTGCATTTTGATCACCCTAGAAGCTCACTGCATTTTCGGGACATATCCATGGCCATGCAGGCATTATAAACGCAAACATGCACCCGAGAGACAGAAAAAATGTAATTCTTTAAACTAATTTGACGTCGATACGCTGACCTATTTCGTGTGAAGACAAAGCTTCGCTCAGGGCTCAGCATCAAGTAATTCATCGACGGAGAGGCCGTGTGAAAAAGGAAGGGCGTTCGTCGATTTATGTACCGCTGCATCACACTTTGAACCGCAGAGTGAGCGTGTCTACTTTTGTTCCGCCATGGCAGAAACATTTGCCTATTGCGCAGAATGTGAGTTGTGCTGTAGCTCAGTGTTTCTCTCTCTGACCCAAGCTTTCTTACTCCAAAGTTGTCTTTTTGCCCCTAAATGAGGGCTGGGACGGAGCGAGATAAAAAAACTCATCCGTGCACTGTCATTCAAGGCGGAAAGAGCATATTTGTGATCGAGTCCTTTGCACGCACACGCACTTCCCCGTCATAATGCAAATATATGTTGTATGGTTTCCCGTACTGAAATATATAATGTTGTCTGTACTAATGGCGCGCGTTCGTGCCGTGTTCCAGTGACGTACAGTGGCGTGGTGTGCGTCATACTGGGCGTCAGTCTCTGCATGCTGGACAAGAGGACTCTGACAGCTGCCAAGCGACGACAAGCTCAGATGCAGGCTCGCGGCAAGTTCGGAGGAGTCCTGGGCTGTTGTGGGTACTCGGGGGGGAGGGGGGGGGGGAGCTGGCGTCTCGTGGTGGGGGGGGGGGAGTTGGCGGTGGCGGGGTGGCGGTCACAGCACGCGCCGAGGTGTAACGCCCAGGTAATATTAGTATGAAATGAAATGCCGTCGCTGACACACCCACTGCACATACATTCCCCTTGCTTTTAAAATCATTCGCTATGATGAGCAACCAAAACATATCATAGGAAAAGTATTGTCTTCTGTAACTTCTGGAACGGCCAATGCCCTGCCCGTTTGCGCGATACGCAAGTTTTGTTTGGTGACAATTGAATAGAGACTGCCGATTCCTCCCCGAAAAGAATCAACCGTTCCCCAGCCCCTCACCAGTCCTTTAATCAGCCCCTCACCAGCCCTTTAATCAGCCCCTCACCAGCCCTTTAATCAGCCCCTCACCAGTCCTTTAATCAGCCCCTCACGCGTCCTTTAATGAGCCCCTCACCACTCCTTGAATGAGCCCCTTTTCAGTACTTTAAGCAACCCTTTAGCCCTTGGCGTGCCTGAGCGACAAAGAGGTGAATATTGACGGCAAGTGACGTATAACATTCTATTTTAAAGTCCTTGAGTTTTCGTCGGATACATTTTCCCGAGAAGTGAACGGTGGCGAATTACGATGGCACCATAAGGCACCATTGTCAGCGACGGTGTTTCAGTTTACGGTGACGGTGTTTGGTCAGATTGATGGCACTGAGACAGGGAAGGCCCAAGGACGGACCGTAACGCTGCGGGTGGCAGCAGGAGGCCGTGTGTGCTGCTGAACTGTGCGAAGGCTGCTGTCGTGACAATGGTTGCTGCTGTGCACGAGAGAGGACTGTATGCCCCTGTCATGTTCTTCCCATATTCCGACTAGTGCCTCTGACAAGCGTGAGGAAAGCGTGTGTTTGCGCTCGGTCGTTACGCCGTCCCTTGTTGGGACGGTGTGTTCGGACACCGGCCTGACCTCCGATCGCGGCCCGATGGGTGACGGGTCAGCCGTGTGGCGCCAGGTCTGCCAGATGCGCGTCTCTCGGTGTCCGTGGAGATGGCTCGGTCAGCCGCCGGCTTTGCTGCGTTGGATGAGGCCGGGTGGTGTCATTGTTCATTGTTGCCAACCCCCGGACCTCATATACCTCTTGCAATACAGTAGCTTTATTCGCCATGATAGATCTGTCGTTGAGCCCATGTGCGTGATCGCGTACTTTCTTGTTGATGATACGTCGCACATTTATTCGCTGTGGCATTTGCTCAATATCGACTGTCAAGATGAGTCTTGGACGGACAAAATGGCTCTGGTGGAATGGAGTTGTTTTCCGTGACGTCACCGACTGGAAGCAGCTCCGACGGCTGTTTGTTTCTATGCTAAATGTCACGTGGAAGATTGCCTGGCCGTAATTGCGGAAGAACGTTGTGATAAAAGCGGATAAATTTTGGTGCAGCGGATAGTATTATTTCCCTATTTCTGTTACGTAGGACTTGCATTTATTAACAACTCTCGTCATAATTGACAGCTTAATATTGCGAGTGGAACTCACTTCCCGTATTATTAAGAAACAAGCACGTCCGTTAACCGCAACGCACTGAACGAGACGTGTTCACTGACACGCTTTCAAAGTACTCCCATATTTGTACTTCAAGCAACACTGCAATGACAGAATATGAGAGATCGGCTACCCCACCTCAGAACGACCACACCTGCACGTTGTGAAGTCCCAGACCAGTTCAAGAACTAGCCGGTTTGTTATCCTCGGTGGGTCTGTGTTTTGCATCGATCGATCGATCAGGGGCGTAGTGTTTCTTATTCAAGTAGAGAGCCCGACCCCCTTAACTCGAGCTCCACCTCCCCCCGCCTTTTGGGAGAAAAGGGGTCAAATCCGGGGAGACGCCCAATTGGCGAATCTCGGGCGGATTACACAATTTTCACGTTCCGTCCCCCCCCCCCCCGCTCTCAACTCACCTTTTCATACGGCGACCCCGTTTAAGATTATCTGCGCCGTGCGAACTTATAATTACAGCTCCAGCCGACTCAGGCTCGCCGCCCACGACTCACCGCGGGGCACAGTGACCACAGGTGGCCCGCATGGTCCAGGCCACAAGGTCGAAAGCGGTCGATTCAGGGACAGAATCAGGCCCGGGGCCTGGCAGTAGTAAGCGTGGTCCCTCTTCAGTTCCATGCTCTGGTCCAGGCGAAACTTTGGATGCGGCGCAGCTGCGTCGCTGACTGCACGGTCCTTGTGAACACAGAGATATTCTGCCTACACGAACTTTAGTCCAGCCACGCCACCTGGACCTGCTTTCAGGACGCCGCTTTCTGTCGGAGGCCACCGCCTGGCCTTTGGCGCCTGAGCCCGAGCATGTGGACTGTAATATGACCTCTTGTCACTTGAACCAAAGCATGCGGGGAAGCACCGCCTTCCCCGTCCTTTTCCACTCCGCCGCCTCCTCCGCCCGCCTTTGGTAGGACTGCTTCGCGGTCGTCTCATGAGTTCTTTCGCATCTCACCGCAGCACACCCTGCCAGATCATGTCCATCTGTTAACCTCATAATAGGGCCACGGGACATCTGCCCCCCCCCCCCCCCCCCATGGCAACAAGGACCAGTTCGAAGTTGCTGGCTGTTGGACGCCCTTTCCTGGACGCTGTCCACTTTGGGTTCCTTTGCTGCCCTCTTGTCCGCTCTTCCTTCTGGATAATTTGGTCCATGGTCAGATCTATCCCACTTAATTGCGCCGACCTTGTGCACCTTATCCAGGTCCAGGCTCACCAGCGACACATCGACGGTTGTTACGCCTCTCTTCTCTGTATGCTTCGGTGCAAGTGACAGAGGTGAGGTTACAGTCCGCACGCTCGGGCTGAGGTGCCAAAGGCCAGGTCACCCCTACAGCTGTAGTTCTCTCGGTCACAGATCCATGGGCCTGCTCCTGCAGGGCGGGCTACATCAGAATACAATTGTCATCCTGTGGGTACACATCCGTAGCTTTCAGCACTGGACCACTGACAGACCCCATGCTCCACTGGCACGGAGTGTCAGCCTGAAACCAATTGTTTTGCGCGTACAGCACGACAGCTGCCATGTGCGGACACCTGCGCAGACCATTGGGACAGGTGTGCCTTCCAGAAACAGGTGTCTTGTCCTCAGCCGTCAGCTGCGACACATCTGATAGACGGAATGGCTTCGGAGCGGCTTCCAGATGGAGCGTGTCACTGATATGGCAGTTTACCTGAAGCAAACATCCCAGAAATGAGCATTTGGGTGACAGGTGACACCCACAAGACACCCGCCACAGGGGCGTTCTTGGCTTGGAGCGTTCCGTTCCGTTCGTGGCTTGTTCGCCCTGTGAACGTTAAGGCAAGATGCCGTGTCTTGCCCTGTGTCTCCACAGGAGGAACTCGGCTCGTGCTGGAACAGCTGGCTGTACAGTCACGCCCATCCAAGGTCAGACACCCCGAGCCGTGACCACGGAGGCCCGACAGGCGCGACGCAGGAGACCAACTCACCGTGGCAGACGCTCGTACCAAAGCAAGCGTGACTTCAGACGTCATCAGAAGCGACTCGGCCAGTTACCGAGAATCGATACATGTGCCGTAAACACTGAATAGCACGCCAGGGGTGCAATTTCCTATTCGGGTGGGGTATCCCCCGAGCTTTGATTAGAAAATGGACTAATATCGAGATGTCGTTTGCTCAGCGCGGTGTAATTTTGTGAAGCTACACACCCAACGCAAACCAAAGTCTGCTGAGCTCCGTGATGGAATCGCTCGTCGCAGATGTGATTTGGTTCTCTATAAGAGGCAGCTAATGAAACCTCGATTGAATCTTGAATGAAATCTTGATGGCCACAAACTTAATCTAATCAAGAGGCAGTCTAGAATTTCACTGACTGCGCTGTTGTTTTTTCCGACGATCTGAATTGTGGTATTCTGTCTGTCTCGTCGTCATCCAAATGAAAGCTGGTTGAGTTTCTTCCCAGTTAGGTACTCATTGGGAACCGTTTTCAATGGCAGTGGTACCCGGCAACCATCCATTAGCGTATTCACCAAATCCAACAGACGGCCAGCCTTTTGGCCAGGCTGTAACGCTTAGAGGCATATTATACCTCCGTTGAAATTGCTAGCTGGCGTAGAGTGGATGAGATCGAGCGCCAGCCTGATTGCATTTCAGCGCAAAGAGCCTTAACCAACAATCTGTGCTGCCCGCAATTTAGACCACGTTTGTCAGGCGCGCCCAGGCGGCGGCGAGAGGGGCCCGTGCCGTGGCAGCGAGAGTGCTGAAGCTCTTGAGATAAAGGCTAGCGCAGCACCCGACGAGCAGCTGCGTTTAGAGTGGCATTATCTTGGAACGGTCGGGTATTTAAGAACCTCATTGCATTCGTTGCACGCCCTGAGCACGCATCATATTGCATTTTACTGGGGTTTTTTTTTAGTTGTGGTACATGAATCGCGAGTTCCTTCGACTGGAATTGTAATAGCCCCTGTATGGACGACTCTTAACACGCGTCCGGGTGGCCGGCTGGATACCCTTCGTTCGGGGGGGGGGGGGGGGCTCAATTTGACCCCTGAGATCTCAAGAAGAAGAGAGCTAGAAGCATCCAAATTTACAGGGTGTGGTGACCTGTGCGTGAACTCACTTAGGTCAAATTTTGAGGTACCTAGGTCACGACCTTCGGGTCAAATAAGGTCGAACGAGGCCAAATTCCAGATTAGGCTCCAAAGTGCCCCAGAACCTAGATAACTGTTTCTAACCAAAAGTTATCATGCTCGTTCAAGGTCATTGACCTTGTTTGACCTTTTTAAAGTCATGGTGACCAAAATCATGCAAGACTGCTCTGAGTTTTGCACTTGAATAAGTGACAAAGATAACGCTAGACATTATGTTCAAATGCAAGACAGTATGTTCCTAAAAACAAAATGTTGACCCGAGTTATTTTAGGTCAACGACCTTTTATGGCCCCTGAGAAGTCCATGGAAGATATAGAATGGGTTTCCTGCTATCAAT